ACACACACACACACACACACACATTCCTTTTCTTTAAAGTTGCTTGGTTGTGTCCTACTCTTTGCAACCCCATGACTATACAGTCCATGGAATTTTCCAGACCAGAATACTGGAGTGGGTAGCTGTTCCCTTCTCCAGGGGATCTTCCCAACCCAGGGATCAAACCCAGGTCTCCCTCATTACAGGTAGATTCTTTACCAGCTGAGCCACAAGGGAAGCTCAAGAATACTGGAGTGGGTAGCCTATCCCTTCTCCAGCGGATCATCCTGACCCAGGAATTGAACTGTGTTCTCCTGCATTGCAGGCGGATTCTTTACCAACTGAGCTTTCAGGGAAGCCCCCCCCCCCCCCATACATGTATAGTAGTATCCATGTTTTCAGTCTTCCTTTGAGGGAGCTTGGAATGTATCCCCCACAGATAAGGGGGAATGACTGTACTAGAATTACAGTGTTTGCTTCTGGCGAGGTAAGCATGTGAGAATTAGTTTTACAACAGTGCCGCCTGGCCGCCTTTTCCAACACTCCATTAGTTTGGTTCAGAGAGACTCACTCCCCCAGGTCCCCTATGGGAACCTCGTCTGGTCAAAATAATTCTGTAGGAGCAAATGAGTCCCTGGGTAATGCAGGAAAAGTGATGCCTTAGAAAGAGGAGGCTTGCTTTTTTCCACAGGGCCCCTGCTGTTAGCCTGTGATCAGCGCTTCGAGTTAGTTAGCACAATGAAGTCTTTTTCTGAGAGGGAACTATTTGGGAATAAACTTCCATGGATACCTCCTCACACACCCCTCCAGCCCCCTCCCTTGGCTGTTAGCCTTTAAGAAAATAGAGGGAACAGCTTGATCGCAGTTTTCCTAGAAAAGCCCTTCGATGGGCCCATTATAGAAAAGAAGCTGTTTTTGTTTTCTTTGATTAATCACAGTGTCTTGTTTCCCCCAGCAAATGTGGCCTTGGATCTTCCAGTGAACACAGCCACAAAGGAAGGCCCATGGTTGCCTGGAGCTTGACAAGGACCCTGAGACTTCGTTGGGGTGGGGCCAGCTGTGGCCCTGTCCTCAAGGACTTGGCTGGTGACTTCTTACCATTGAAGCGGCTCAGCTTACCCATTTCCTTTGTGTTTTTCTGCCAGTGTGAATAAGAGAAATATTAGCCTTTAAAGATTTCTTTACAGTTCCTTGAAAGCTGGCTGGGTGAAGTCAGCCAGAGAATTATATAACAGCAAGCCTCATTTAAAGCAACAGTGCCTTTCTATAGGACTGTGGGGTTTCATTGACCAGCTTTTGTTATAAATTATAAAGAAAAAGATACAAATTTTATGAAAAAAAGATAGAGGGACCCTCCCATTCTTACTTTCTGTTCTTTCACTGAAGGGATATAATTTCTAGGGTGTTAATTAAAAAAAAAAGATACAAAACCTCTTTCAAGGAAGGTAAGAAAAAAATCACGTTCATTAACCTCAGGCAGTCATAGCATGCTTAATCTTGTTTGAATTAAGAAGAAAAAAAAATAATGAAGAGAAAATCTTTCTAAAGCATTTATTTGTTTTAATTTAAGAGTTTTGGAAATTTTATAAATACTCAGCTATTTTTTTCTTTTCCTTTCAAATGGAACCAGACCCTTTGAGGGAGTGAAGGATTCAAGCAACAAATAATCTACTGCTACAGTGTTTTCTGTGGTGCTTGAATACCTCTCAAAGTATCCACCATGCATTAATTCAACTGTTATTTCCACACACCCTTAGTTTGCCCTTCTCTATCCTTCCATTTTAGAGATAAGAAAACTGAGGCTCAAGGTTTCCGTGATGTGCCTGGCAGCACACAGCTCAGCTAGAGACCACATTCTGCGAGTCTGTCTTTCTCTGGCATCACCCTCAGAAGGCCCCCGTCTCCTCTCCTCTCCACCAGGAGTACTCAACCAAGAGCAACTTTGCCTTCAGGGGACGCTTGACAACACCTGGAGGTGCTTTTTGCTGTCACGACTGGTGCAGGGGCGCAGTGTGGGTGCTGCCGGCGCTCAGTGGCTGCAGGTTGAGGATGCTGCTCAACCTCTGGTGGGGCACAGACAGCCCCCGCAGAGAAGTACCTGGTGCCAAATGCAATAGTGCAGACAAGCCATGGTCCGCATCAGAAGGAAACTCCAACCTCTGGGAGCTGCCAGAGCTCCTGTGCCCAGTGACGGGCTTGGCCTCTGTCCTGTGGCTGCCGTAAGAGCCGCTGTCCAGAGTGCCCTTTGGCAGTGGCCAAGCGTCCCCTGCGGAGTTCCCTGCAGGACACGCAGTGCATCGGCTGCAGCTGATGTGTGTTTTAATTTATAGTCACAGGGCGCCTGTCTTCATTTAGCAGCAAGCCTGCTGGCAGCCGCCCTGCCGGGGAGGAAGCAAGTTCCACAGAGGCCCACAGCCCCCGCCAGCTAACAGCCCGAGGTATTTGGGGACGGCTGCTGCTTGGAGGCACCTGGGAATAGGCGGGGGTGGGGATGGCGCAGAGCACGTGGTCTCCCCGACCAACCCATCCGTCAGCGGTGGCCCTGCCAGAAGATGGCCTATTGAACATTTCCAGGAATAGCACTGCCAAGCCTGTCAACTGCTTTCTTGGAAATACACTCAATAAGGATGGCGGGCCTCCAGCAGGGAGAGCAGAAAGCCTGGCCTGGACTGCAGGGCTCAGAAATGGTAGTGTAAGCCTGCAGGCCCTTTCAGTGCCTTGGGGAAGGGAGCAGTGCTCCCTGGGCTTGGGAGCCTACCAGCTTCTGGGGTCGTTGAGAAATGTTTTCAGCCTGGAAGGAAGAGGACCACACCTTTCGAAAGGTCAGGCCCTGCTGACTTCTGCAATCTCGTGACCTTTAGACACTTGCTGTGTTTGTTTAGACACCAGCAGACAGGAAGGCTCTCCAGCCTGGAGGCCAGGCATTAACTAGGTATTAACTGTCAGCTGTGACTGACCTCAGTGTCATCTGGGGAGCCTTGACCATCACTCCTTTTCATGTAAGCTTCACTCCCAAGTAGAGCCAAAGGAGCACAAGAAAGGCAGAGTGTTCCCCACGCCCCCTCCCCTGGCCCCTCCCCATCTTTTCTCAGTCACTGTGCCAATATAGCAAGTTAGAGGCAAAGATGTGATCATTGAAAGGAAAGTATTGTAATCCACCCTTCCCCCACACCCCTGCAGAAGTAACCTTTCTCCTCACAGAGGCCTGACATTCCTGTTGAAGTCTGAGCACTTGGGACCCTTTGTTGCCTGAGCTACAGCCTTCTCCAGCCGCTTGGGTACCCAGGCTGGGGGATGCCCTAAGGAGACCAGCTGCCTTAGAAGAAAAACCCCTTGAAGATGTAGGCAGTATAAGAAAAGCAAGAGATGATAAAATACTGTCTGCAGGGTTCAGGAAGTATTGGTCCCTTACCCTTTAAAAGTAATAACAGAGTTACAAAGTTTACCGCAGAGCTGATATGGGACATCTTTCCATTTCTAAAAGCCACCAACTTGCAGGACAAGCATTATTTGAGGCCCACACTGAGCTACAGTTAGTTGGCAGTAGGGCTGCCAATTGCTGGAGGAGGAAATGGTCACCCGCTCCAGTATTCTTGCCTGGAGAATCCCATGGACAGAGGACCCCACCAGTCTGTGGGGTCACAAGGAGTCAGACAGGACTGAGGTGACTTAGCATGCACCCAGGGCTGCCAATATATTCTCAGACACCCAAGTAAATTTAAAGTTCAGAAAACAACAGATAATTTTTTCAGTATAAGTTTATCTGAAAGTCAAATTTATCTGGGCGTCGTGTGTTTTTGTTAAATATTGTCACTTCTCTTTGGAGGATAGTGACCTAGTTGTTAATAACAGGGAACATCAACACAGATTCAGCACATATAAAAAATCATAGTTGTTAGAAGAGGAGGAAGGCAGGAAAGGAGAAGGATAGCAATTAAGGAAAGAGGAAGATCAAGAAGAAAGGAAAACAGATGTAGTGAAGGAGAAAAAAATCTAAGTGAAAGAGAAATGGGAAGTACTAAGAAATGAGATGAAAACATCTCTGAAGGACCTAAAATGCTTTATAATGATGAGAGTTCACAGGGTGCCATTTCCCTGGGAAATGCCGTTTCCTTAGCTAGCCACCATTTCTGGATCTTCTACAACTCTTTGTTCTGTCTGGTAAAACCCACAGTGACCACTTGGGAAAAATGAGTCCTCAAGCTCCAGTGGCAATATGTAGGCCAATATTACCCTGGAGACATGCTGAAACCAAACCTAAGCCTCTATCCAACCCTAAGACCTGCCTCCCACCCACCCATCCCACCCGCCACACCCATGTTGCTGTCATCAGAGGACTGTGGATTTTCAAAGAATTGTAATCTGAATGATACAATGGGGCTAGTTGTCACAAATCTACGGAAACTTTTGTTTCCAATGATGTTTCAGAAAATCAGCTTCTTTTGTCTCCGGGTGAAGGTGGTGAGGAGCAGAGTGTGCATGCCAGCAGCGATTTCCTGAATTATTAACCCCCTTGTTCTCTGACCTGCAGAGGGGCACCAGGTTGGCCTAACCTAAAGAGAAGAAGCCTTGATTGGCTTGTAGGGGGATGAGAGAGGCGGGCCTCGTCGGGAGATGGTGTCATGGTGTCGTGGCGATGGTGGTGGTGGGAAGGAGGGGACCCTGCCTACAAGCCTTCAATCACATGTGTGTCCTGGGGAATGGAAATGGGGCTGCATTTGATTACCTGGGCTGTGCTGTTAGATGCGTAACATCAGAGCGACAGAATAGGTATCCCCATAAACTCCAGTGGGGCACAGAAGAGACTGACTCACCCACCATGTTGTGATTCTATTCCAAGCAGCTTCTCAGACTGTGTCCATTTTTGACATTGTCATTACAACAGTAGCTAACACTCACCAAAGCACCTCCCGCAAAAAGTTAAGTTCTTGTTTCAAAGTCAATTGATTGCTGAGTGTTGGGGCTGAGAATTGCCTCCAGTCTGCCCAATTCACAGCTCAGAATTCATCTTTGTCTTCCAGTCAGACCGCAGAGATCAGATCCCAGCTCCATAACTTACTAGCTGTGTGACCTTGGGTAAGTTACTTAATCTCTCTGTGCATCTGCTTCATCATCTATAAAATGGGGATAAAAATAGTATCTAGCCCAATCAGTTGCTATGAAGATTTAAGGAGTTTGTATCAAGCACTGAGAACCCAGTGTTTTACCTCTCATTTCATCCAATCCTCCAACACTTCTTAAAGCAGCTAATATTATTATCCTTATTTACATGAGGGGAAGCTGAGGTCCAGAGGGGCTAATTAGCTTGGTCAAGGTCAGTAAGTAAGAGAGCTGAGAGTCAAACCTAGACAGACTGATCCATTTGTTGCTGTTCAGTCACTCAGTTGTGTCTGACTCTCTGTGCCCCCATGGACTGCAGCATGCAAAACTTCCCTGTCCTTCACCATCTCCCAGAATTTGCCCAGACATGTCCATTGAGTCAGTGATGCCATCCAACCATTTCATCCTCTGTCATCCTCTTCTCCTGCCCTCAATCTTTCCCAGCATCAGGGTCTTTTTCAATGACTCAGCTCTTCGCATCAGGTGGCCAAAGTATTGGAGTTTCAGCTTTAGCATCAGTCCTTCCAATGAATATTCAGGACTTATTTCCTTTAGGATGGACTGGTTGGATCTCCTTGCAGTTCAAGGGACTTTCAAGAGTCTTCTCCTGCACCACAGTTCGAAGCATCAATTTTTCGGTGTTCAACCTATTTTATTGTTCTGTTCTCACATCCATTCATGACTACTGGAAAACCATAGCTTTGACTATATAGACCTTTGTTGGCAAAGTAATGTCTCCTGCTTTTTTAATATGTTGTCTAGGTTTGTCATTGCTTTTCTTCCAAGGAGAAAGCGTTTTTTAATTTCATGGCTGCAGTCACAGTCTACAGTGATTTTGGAGCCCAAGAAAATTAAGTTTGTCACTGTCCATACTTAGAGATTCTGCCCCCTACCTGTACACTTTTATGTGTTCATTTCATAGTTTCTGCCTTTTATAACCAGGGCATTGTCTGGTGGCATTTTCATATACTTAGACTTGTGAACAAGGTACAGTATCTTCCTTAAAGCTGCTACTGCTGCTGCTAAGTCGCTCAGTCGTGTCCGACTCTGTGCGACCCCATAGACAGCAGCCCACCAGGCTCCTCTGTCCCTGGGATTCTCCAGGCAAAAACACTGGAGTGGGTTGCCATTTCCTTCTCCAGTGCATGAAAGTGAAAAGTGAAAGTGAAGTCGTTCAGTCATGTCTGACTGTTAGCGACCCCATGGACTGCAGCCTACCAGGCTTCTCTGTCCATGGGATTTTCCAGGCAAGAGTACTGCAGTGGGGTGCCATTGCCTTCTCCAAAGCTACCTGATATATATTCTTCATAGTACAGTTGCTCAGAAGATTCAACTTCTCTGAATCTGCTCTCTGACTCCACTTGTGGATAATGATGCTGGTATTCGGGCTAGGCTAGGCTATAATGTTGTAACAAATATCAACAACAGTTTGTTTCTCCTTCACAGAAAGCCTAAGGAACTTTCTGCTGTGCATTGACCTTGTCACTCCACAAGCTGGCATGGTCACAGCCAAATGAGATAGAAGAAGTGGAGGAGATATTCCCATTAACATCCATGGTCTGGCATTGACACATGCCTCTTCTACTCACAGTGCTTTGGCCAGAATAGTCACATGGCCCCAGATGCTATGATGGGGCCATGTATAAATGTGTGGATTTTTCCCTTCCCAGAGGTCTACTGGCCTCTACCTTCATGAATAAACCCAGCTTATGGTCTCAAGTTAAGAACAATTGCTAGCTTCTTTATTAACCAGATTATGTGAATCCCTTTCTTATTAGTTATAGTCATGCATTTGTTCACTCAATAAATATTTATCAAGTGTTCCCTCTCTACTAGGTACTTTTAGGCCCCTGAGAATATGTCAGTAAATGAAACAAAAGAAAACCACTACTTTCCTAGAACTAGCTTTCCAGTGGGGAATGGAGGAGGATAGATACTTAACCTGAAAAATAAGAAAATGATATGACATACTAGGTGTTTGTATGTGTCATGGAGAAAGATAAAAGAGGGAGGGGGGATCCAAGTGTGAATGTGTATGTATCTGAGCATCGAGGGGACAGTTTTAAATAGGATGTCTGGGAAGGCGTTCCTGAGAGGGGAACATTTGAGCAGACATCCAAAGAATGCAAGAGGGCTCTGGGGTAAAAGGATTCTAAGAAGAAGAAGTAATTGGTGCAAAGGTCCTGGGGCAGGAGACTGGCTGGTGGATCAGAGGACTGCATGTGGCTAAGACAGAAAGCAGTAGGAAAGATCAGGAAGGGATGGGGGTGGGATGCATTGACCTTGAGGACTTTGTTACCTATAAGGACTTGTGCTTTTACTCCTGATTTTAAAAAACCTCCATTTTCTCCTCCTTGTTCTAAGAACCTGGTCCCTCCTCCACCCCACACACCCCCACCTCCCAATGCACACACACTGTTCTTCTCTCAGCTCCCTTGCAGCAGTGCCTCTCAAACTTGAGGGACATCAGATCCACCTAGGGGGTGTAACGTCAGATTGCTGGGGTCCACCACCACCCCGAGTCTCTGTGGTGGGGCCTGAGAACCTGCCACTCGGACAGGATCCCAGGGAACGCCAGTGCTGCTGGTACAGCGCCCACACTTTGAGAACCACGGCGGTAGTGCAGCAGGCCCTCTCTTGCTTTTCCACTTATTTCCTCAGGAGCGCTTGCCTGGATTCCTGGACAGCACCACCTGCATCGTTTGTGAGGCCCAAGGCAAAATGAAAATATAGACCCCCTTGTTCAGAAAGCAGGACAGAAAAGATGACTGAAGGTAAAGTGTAAAGCTTTTCCTTTTAAAATATTTTATTATCTATAAGATTTTACGAGTTTTCCTTGTTAATTGTTGGTTTATCTGGAATTTTGTATGAAGGTGGTGTTCTGTCAAATGGAACAATCTTTACATTTAATTCCTATTTCTAAACCCATGGATATTTGGTTTGCAACCCTACAACCATTTTCAAAACCAGAAATTCTTAATTATTTGAAGAGTTTTAAAAAGTCCCTGATTTGCTTTATTGCAGCATCAATGTGTATACCCTTATTTTGTAATAATTTACTGACAAGCTTTACTACCTGAATGCGCGAGTGTCCTGGCGCTCAGATTAGAGAGAGAGCATTTGTGCAGATGCCACAGGGCCAGGCTCCAGGGAGAAATGAGTAAGGCCGCCTCCCACCATGGGTCCCCGTGGTGGGCCCGGAACCCCTCCCCTCTCCTAGAGTTGCCTCTGCTGACCCCACCACTGCAGCTGCTACTGGGGCTGCCACCGCCATCAACCAGCCTGGGTGCAGGTCCCAGGCAGGGCTGCCCTCACTGCTCCAGGTCCTCTGGACAATCCCGGGTGTGCACATGCTCGCCAGGTGGCCAGGCCAGCTGCTGGGTGCTGCCCACTGCCATATGTTAGTGCGCTCCAGCCCTCACGTGTGTACAAGGGCCCTGGAACAGCGGCTCTGCCCATGCGCATGCTCCATTGTCCTTTCTGACCTCACAGGTTCAAATGTAGCATCGTTAAAAATTTCAAGACCCAGACAAGAGTGCATTAACTAAGCACGCTGTCCAGTCTGAGTACACCTTGTTTGCACACCCACAGAACTGGTCTTGCTCCTGGACTAAGTGACTTACCCTAGGTTTGCCCTTGGAGCATCTTATATTATTCTCTAGCAGTGGGTCATTCTAAATGATTTAATGTCTGTTTTCCCCGCTGGGCTTCCCAGGTGATGCTAGTGGTAAAGAACCCGCCTGCCAATACAGGAGATGTAGGAGACGTGGTTTCGATCCCTGGGTCAGGAAGATCCCCTGGAAAAGAAAATGGCAACCCACTCCAGTATTCTTGCCTGGAGAATCCCATGGATAGTGAAGTCTGGAGGGCTATGGTCCATAGGGTCAAAAAGAGTTGGACACGACTGAAGTAATTGAGCACTCACTTAGCTTTTCCCAATAGACAGGACCAGCAAATTATGACCCGTTGGTCAAATCCTGCCAGCTGCCTGTTCTTGTAATGAAGCTTTATTGGAGCATATTGTCACTCAATTATTTTGGTATTGTCTATGGCTGCCTTCATATTATAAGGCAGAGATGAGTAATGCAACAAGGAATATTTGGCCCAGGAAGCCTAAAACATTTGCTGTCAGTCTTTTATAGCATTTTGCACTAGACTGTAAAATCCCTGAAGGTAAGGATGAGGTCTGTCCGGAACAATGCCAGGCATATAGAAAATGCTCAGTCAGTGCTCCTTCTTGAAAAAAATTATTAAAAAATGAATACAAAGAGAGCCTAGTATTCTTTAAAGTAATTTATCTTAAAGAAAACCATGTAAATTTTGTTTGATTTTTTCATAAAATAATTATGTGTAAAGTTATTTACCGCACTGTGAGATTGGCTCTCCAGGGAAATGTAAGGTGTGTGTCAAATACCCCTCTGACATGTTGCTGTACACTTCAGACTGAAGAAGCACAGGCATTGAAAATACATTATTCCTCAATCTATACTAGTTATTAAGTGAAGTGTGGGGCTAGCCATTATGACGGGAGTGATAATTCACACTTGTATCTCACCCAAGAGCCTTTTAGGGGCTATCAAGCAAAGGAGAAAAGACTCGCAAATACATACCATATGGATAAGCAACTATGATAAATGACATTCAGTGCAGAAGGAAATTTCTGGATCAAGTGTTGTCATCTTTCAGAGTCAAGACTCTTTACTTTTGGCTGTGAAATCAGAAGTTTCTCACCAGCCATTCTATTTGGTCTCAGATTTTATCTCTGTCCTTCTTCCACTTTGCTGGGCATCACAAGGAGCTAACTCCTGCAAGCTCCATTTCCCTGGCTATCCTGCCAGCTGGTTCCAGCTCGATTCCATCGGTGGGAGGCCCCAGAGAAAGATCGTATAACTGGAGGAAGGAAGGAGTCAGGGTATTTCTCCTCACTTTCTGAGCCTGTACAATGAAAAAAACCAACAGAGTATTTTCACAGGGTTTCTATGAGAATTAAATGAGATAAGGCATGCAAAATGCTTATACCTTGTGTATAAAATAAACACTCAAGGAATAGAGCTGTTGTTGCTTTTAGCCTTGCTTAGGTAAGTGAGAAAGAACACAGTGATCAATTAGTGATGTCTGCCAAGAGTGAAGGGTTGGGCAGTCATGCTATGTGAGCAGAGTATTGACCAACCCTGATATCTTGAAGCTGTATTGTGGAGACAGAACTGAGACAAACTGGCAGATGGCTTGACAGACGGGTTACGTCTTGGGAGAAATCAAAGAACTGGAATGGTGATATCGAGAATAGATATAGGCAAGGAACGAAAAAGAGAAGGTTTGGGAGAGAGGATTATGACTTCATTTTTAGATAAGTTGTTGGGCTCTTTCCAATTACCAAAAAGCAAAAACCCCAAAACCAAAAAAGAATACGCTTAACACTCCAAGAGATGTGGGACTTTGATAAAAATACATGTGTGCAGTGAGTTAGCAAAGAAAACCGTCTCATTAGCCCACACACTCGGACCTCACGACAAGACCACAGCAATTCCAGCTACTGTATTCTGGTCTCCTTTTGAGAGGAAAACCCACTGTTCTTTGCTTGGTGATTCTTCCTTGCTCAGGACTCTCTTTCTGGTTCTATCTCGTTTTCCTCTTCTTGCCTCTGTGCTGTGGTTATATTCTTTGTGTCCTGCATTCAGGATGATCAGAGTGGATATTTACCATTTAGCACAGGGCTTCATTAACTGGGTTGCATTCTCAGTTCAGGCCACCTCACAGTTTCCTTAAGTCTGGCCCACACTGATGTCTTTGGCTTGGCATAGCAGCTGTGGCCGGCATAGCGGTCACCTGACACAGAGTGTCAAGGTCCACCCTTCTCAGAAGGAGCTATGGAACCAGCAGTGGAACCAGAAGGTTTCCTGGTGTAGACATGGTGAGTGAGCTGGAGATGTCATTGAGATCTCCATGGAGCTGAAAAAGTCAGACTGGGTCATGGTTTAGAAAGGATTGAGGAGACTTGATTACTTCTGCTTTTATATATCTCATGCAAATTTGATCATACAGGATCAAAATCTGTCCAAGGTGCAAGGCAAAGAAGTCAGAAATTATTTATGAAAAAAAGATGGTTCTTCCAGTGGAACCCAGAAAGCTAGACAGTTTGCAGAGGAAGAGATTCTTACTGTTGTTTATAGGGACATCACTAATTTCTTAGAGGAACAACCTAGAAATTGGCTTGGAAGGGTGGGTGTGGTGAGGTTAGGGTTTTCTTACTGCCTTGAGACCAAAATAGTCTACACTTCAAGAAAACAAACATAACAACTCAACCCTCTGTGATTCTTCCCAGAACTCTTCAAATATGACACATCCATCACACCATTGGAACTTGAGGAGCCCAGAGCTTGCAACACACATATTCCAAGGATAAGTTGAACTAAGATCATGGCATCTGGTCCCATCACTTCATGGGAAATAGATGGGGAGACAGTGGAAACAGTGTCAGACTTAATTTTTTTGGACTCAAAAATCACTGCAGATGGTGATTGCAGCCATGAAATTAAAAGACGCTTACTCCTTGGAAGGAAAGTTATGACCAACCTAGACAGCATATTAAAAAGCAGAGACATTACTTTGCCAACAAAGGGCCGTCTGGTCAAGGCTATGGCTTTTCAAGTGGTCATGTATGGATGTGAGAGTTGAACTGTGAGGAAAGCTGAGCACTGAAAAATTGGTGCTTTTGAACTGTGGTGTTGGAGAAGACTCTGGAGAGTCCCTTGGACTGCAAGGAGATCCAACCAGTCCATCCTGAAGGAGATCAGTCCTGGGTGTTCATTGGAAGGACTGATGCTGAAGCTGAAACTCCAATACTTTGGCCACCTCATGCAAAGAGTTGACTCATTGGAAAAGACCCTGATGCTGGGAGGGATTGGGGACAGGAGGAGAAGGGGATGACAGAGGATGAGATGGCTGGATGGCATCACCGGCTCGATGGGCATGAGTTTGAGTAAACTCTGGGAGTTGGTGATGCACAGGGAGGCCTGGCGTGCTGCGATTCATGGGGTCACAAAGAGTCGGACATGACTGAGCGACTGAACTGAACCCCAGGTGGGCTTGGATTTGACATTAGACATGGACTCCCTCCATGCCTCAGGTTTTTGGCTCACATTATGCCTTGATGTGAAAGAAAAAAAAAGGAAAACTTGCCAGGTTCTTTCTTGGAAGACTTGTATTGTTTCCCACTTTCCCATAAACAGAACTGGGCTGAGAAGGAAGTTTTGAGGAGGACTGAGATCACACTCCTGAACAGATGAGCTGGGTTCAAATCCTGATTCTCTTGTCATCAGCTGTGTAAGGTTGTGATATCTTCATGCTTCAGTTTCTTTATCTATAAGATGGGATGGAATGACTAGTGTCCATCTCACAGGGTTTTGGGAGGATTAGTAAGCTATAAGTAGCTGGTGCACGGGCCCCCCTCGTGGCTCAGTGGTAAAGAATTCACCTGCCAGTGCAGGAGATGCAGGTTCGATCCCCGAGTCAGGAAAATTTCCTAGAGAAAGAAGTGTCAACCCACTCCAGTATTCTTTTCTGGGAAATCCCATGGACAGAGGAGCCTGGTGGGCTGCAGTCCATGGGGTAGCAAAAGAGTTGGTCACAAGGTCACGATTTAGAGACTAAACAACAACAGCTGGTGCATGGCAAGTGCTTAATGGTGTTGGCGATTGTCAACACTCTGAACAGATGTAAGAAGAAACTTTTGAAGTCCACAGAAGGCTAGAGAGACACCACGTGGGGCCAGCTC